TAAGTTCCTTAAATCGCTATATTCCCCCAGTTTCCGTTTCATGTTCCATGTTCTTTTCCGTTTGGTCCTCCATCATAAGGGGATAAAATTGTGACATAGGTTAAGTTCCTGAATTGACAACAACCCAGTCTATACCTGAAGCCTGGCAACCCAGCAAGGCCAGCCTTCACATACCAACCTTCACTCTCATCCAACCGAGATCGCATGGCTTTCACCTGTCCCAATCACGTGGGTTGTTCTCAAAATGTTGGGCCCCTTCTGGTTGTAGGTTATATAACGGCACCTATTATTTAGGGGTACCAAAATGGGCCCCTAATTTTGGGAACTACCCACGTGCAGACTACATCAAACTTGCAACGCACTGCAGTAGGATACGTCTTCAAAGACCCGAGGGAACGATCAATGATCTCCATTAACTCTCGTGGCGGGATGTTTTGGTCGGAAGCTCACACATGATGTTGAGCTGTCTTGGAGCCATGCTGAACCAAAAGACCCTTCCGGGCCCAGCACCTCCCACATACCCGACGCAGAAGCCACCAGAACCTGTCTGTTTCATGCTTGGGGGAAGCAAGGGTTTAGGGGTTAGGGGCTAGGGGTTAGTTAGGGTTAATTGGCTCGAAATATTTGGGGGTCATGTAGGCCTTGTTGAACCCGTGTTTGTGCCTCTTCCCAAAATGTTGTATACAGTTACATGGCCCCTGCTTCTCTGAGGGATGCTTCCCATTGCAGCAGTGTGACACATCTCCCCCTTTTCGGGTACTGGAGTCAAGATATACATGAAACTCAGATTTGGTAGTTCCCTAAATAGGGGGACTCCAATATACTATAGTCTTTATTCTGGGGGCCCCAAAATGGTACTTTTGGGAAATCCCCATTTGGCGGTCCATTAAATGTACCACTCTTGAACCATCGTGTCATGAAGCTGCTGGGCGCACTAGGAGGAGACCGGCACAGAGGTTGTGTAGACCCGGCCTGAAACAGTTCCAGCACAAGGGGACCATTGTGGGCTACCACAAAACCTTGGGGGGATGGCTGGTACCCATGGGGTGTTTAGGAGAACCCTTGAGGCTACGGGATGAGAGAGGGGTTAGGTTTGAGGGCTGAGGTAGGGTTGGGCATATAAGGTTTTGGGCATATAAGGTTTTGGGCATGGTTACAGTGTTGCTAAGGTTTGAACGGACTGCTCAACAATCGGATAATCTTTGCACCAAGACCACTCCTCCTGTCAACAATGACCGAGAAGAACCTTCATTGCTGGGGAAGGTCACTTGGGCTTAGAACTTCACCATACGGAGCAAAGGAGCGCATCGATGCTCTCCGGTCCCCTTGAACAACTAACATGCAGAAGGACACGTTAGCCACGCTCCTGCACTACGAAGCTGATTAGGGGTTAGTAGGGAATAAGGGAGCGTACTATACAGGGAGTATATAGGGATCACATCCCCATACTTGTTACTAGCCCACAGTAAGAAAGACTCCTAGCACAAGACCCTGCCCTAAAAGTACTAGGCCGAGAGTCTCTCCTCTGTAGATCATCCTTGCATTCTAGGCATATTAGGGGAAAAACTAGCATTGTCTATACTAGTCATTAAAAGAAACTATAGGATATTCTCAGATTCTGGTTTGTGTTTCTCTGCAGAGCTCTGAACCCTATTGATCACTATGTCATTATCCATGCTTTTGTCCATTTGGTTCTCTACTGTTGGTATTGTTTCAGGCTTGCCTAGATCGGGCGATTGTAGGTCGAAGGTTCCGACTCAGGGGGCTGAGGGTATCTAGAAGCAATAAAGATGATAATAAAGTATTCTAATCACAACAATAGGACTAGTCATAGTAGGACTAGTACTAATAATGATAATGGCAATGGTGGTGATAACAGTAATCATAATAACCTACGCCTTCTCGGTCTCGTGTGCGACAAACTCTCTTAGCAACCGGCCAGAAGCTCTGTGAGCGCAGCGTGAAGATCTGAGGTGGTCTTCAAAATGGGGAATGACCAAAACGCGTTACAGTGTAGGTGTGGAGTTTATTTGCAGAGTGCGGGAAACCCAAAAACATAAACTTGGGGTGGCTGCTCTGTTCTGAGGTTCCTGTATGAAGGACTGTGCTTTCTTTGGCGGTCATCTTGGGACCCTTATTAAGCGTGGCAGATGTCCAAGCGCGCGAATGCATAGCTTGCATGGGACTTGGAAGCGATGGCGCAAGTATCAGGGACGAGGTGGCAATGTATGGTAGTTTCCCTAAACAGGGGGACCCCCAATTTAGACACCAAATTACTAAAATCCTGATTATGGCGGCCTCCAAAAAGGTACCCCTAATTGGGAAACCCCCATATCAGCTTCTTAAGACGTCTCAAACTTGGGTTGCGCCTTCTGTTGGAGGCAAGAACAGCCTAACCGCCCTCTGCGAAAGGCATGATGCCTGGCAGGAAGAACCACAATCCCCTTTCAAATCCCATGAATGCCTGGGGTTCCCTGGCAAGCCCTTTTGTTTAGGGACCCCCAAACGGTTCCCATAATGATCACTCGGAACCGCCATATGGAGGTTTCTCAACTTAGGGGAACCCAAATATAGACCCCCATACACTATAATCCTTGTTATGGGGACCCCCAAAAAGGTACCCCTAATTTTGAAAAACCCGTGTATATACTAAAAAGATATCACATCCTTCTCAGGAGGTCAGAAAGCTATTAGCAGCTGCCCCGACTTCTGTGGTTCACCTGAGCTATAGTCTAAACTCCCTAAAGGGGGTTATATAGGGGATTGTACAGGGGAGTATATAGGGCTTAGGAAGGGGGATGCTAAGAGTTTAGACTATAGCTCACCTGAGCCCAGGCTCGAATTCCTGAACAAGCGGCTTTGCAATTGGCAATGGTACCTAGAGCCTATGATTTTTTCCTAAGCCCTACACACTAAATCCTGAACTCTGAACTCTAAGCCCTAAACTCTATACACCCTAAACTCTAAACCCTAAACATCCCTAAACCCTCTAGATGGTCCAGCTTCAACCATTGGAATCTGCTCTGGCCAAGATGCCATGTAGAGACCATTGGCGATGGCCACGGCCCAAAAGGCAACGCCGAGCCTGCATGCAAGGAAACCTCTACGTACAGTAAACTGTGTTGCTGTTACTGTAATCCTCTAGACATGGAATTAAACAAATATTGTTGAAAACAATCCTTAGGGGTATACTGTTGTACTATAATCAGAAAGAAAAATCCCAAGGAGACTGCAGATTAAGGCACTTATGAGAAGTGGCTGTAATATGGGCCCATGGTAAATAACATGGTTTCTTGATAGTCCTAATTTCACTTGAATTCCTGGACAGCAACCCAGTGCATCCCCCAATTAATTTCAGGAGGGGCGACTATTCTCTCCTGTCATCTCCACATGGTCGGACTGCGAAGTGGGGGTCACGGATTGCACAAGTCTTGGGCCATATGCAGGGATCATGCACTAGGTAGGCATACTACGAAACACTATTGTTCTCCATGGCAAGTCACAAGGCAGTGCTATTACCAGGTAATAGCTTGGGTCCTTTCATTTTCCTGCCTAGATTATGCACCCTCCCGTAAAATGACCCTCCCAAAGGAAAGTACCCTCCCCAGGCCCTCGCGAGGCGCGCAAGAGCGCGGACTCCTCCGGGGGCAACCTCGCCATCTGCCGGATTTCTGGGATCCAGGTCTCGGGATTAGGGTGTAGAGATTCAGGAATTGTGGGTAGGAATTGCGGTGTAGGGTTATGCGATCTAAAGATTGTGGCTGGTTTCTAGTTTAATGACCAAGATTTGCAAGGTTTGGTTTCGGGGCTGAAGCTTTTTTGTGGGTGTGTAAGTTAGGTGTTATCAACGGCTAAGCTTTCCGAAAGGTTTAGGGAGCGTCCACTCAGATGAGCTGGAGATTGCTTCATTTTGGATTCTTTCAGATCCTAAACCCTAAACCCTTAACCCTTGGGTTTAGGGTCCCAGCCCATCCAAGGGACTCATGGTATGGGGTTCAAGGCTGAGTCAGGAAGAAGTAAGTGTTACTGCCTCAAGGCGGAGAGACGGCCTGAGATTTTTGCGTAACTGTTAGGTGGGTGCATGGGTTGCGTGGAAATTCATGTTCAGCCTTGACTAGAACGTCTACTTTAGCCTTCAAAGAGCTGCAACCACCATAGGCAGCAAAAACCTAAAGCCTCAACCCTAGGGATCACATCTTGGGTTCTAGGATTTGGGGTTCTGCATTGCCCACCCCCCGTCCTCTTGACTTGGCCGCAGTTGCTCTTGCCAAGCACCGGGTACAGAGTGGACGAAGAATGCAGGAACATACGTGTCTGGTTGGATCAAATAACAGCATCAACACGCCTGATCATACACCAACACGACTAGGAGCACTTGGATTACAACAAATCAGACCAGTGAAACAGAAAGCAGGTTTAAAGCACAACCATAAGCCTGCTAAGATCTGTTCACTCATAATAATAACAACTGCGCTTTCCAAAAACCAACATGCCATTATATTATCAAAACTAGAATGTGGATGTGTAATTTGACGAGCCTACGTCCTGATCAGAACCAGTATAGGCCCAAACACCTGTTGACCCCTCTTAGAGCTACAGGAAGAGTTTGATTTTGGATCAGGATGAGAAGCTTCATTCAGTTTTCTGACTTGCCGCATGTAATGTGCAAAGCCAGTTTCCATTTCATTGTGCATGATCTTTATGTTTGGATTCATTCTGAATCCTTAACCCGGTCCCTAAACCCTAAACCTTAAATAGTCCTTTCCATTTGATGTTCTACGTGCTTTTCCATTTGACTCTACATTACTTGTTGCTATCATCCTGATGTAGCCCTGTATACCCAAAACCCTGAACCCCCTTTGGGGGGTATCGTAAGATGAACTCGGTCAGTGGCTCGCTGCTGGCACTCATGACAGATCGCTTCTGTCATGAAGGACGGCGCCAGCCGACTAGAGGTGTAAGTGCTGTTCGTAACCAGCAGTAAGTATTGGGATCTACAGGGTGTCTGTAGGCTGCATCGCTGCATCCATGGATCGCAGAGGCTTATGAGCTCCTTACTGCGGGTTGGAATTTATCGGAGCATGGGTCTATGGTGAGCTCAGGCATCACGACATAGGGATGACAGCCTAGGGTCTAGCAGGCTCCAGGCCGCGCGTTAAGAGTTCATCTTCAGGGTTAGGAGTTGAAGCTTGAGCTTTGGCCTTCCAGTGGTTAGAGGCAGACTGCAGGTGCCTTAGGAATCAATCCTGATCTGACCTAAATGAAGCTTGATGCCAAGCTGCAACAGCTGCCAAACAGAAAGGCACGCCAGTGAGTCGTGGCGCAAGCAACAGCATCACAGACTGCAACAAAGCTTTTTTTGAGAAACCGAGATATGTACAAGCTGCATGCATAGCTGCCTTGCACTTCGGCAAGCTCTGGATGCGCTAGGAGAACCCTCGAGCTCCTCGCGGTTTGGCCCTGAGCAGACAGACTGCAAGCAGCATGACTTAGCTTTTTTTAAGGGAGGATAAGTCCGCTAGGGTTTAGGGTTCGACCGGTTTCTTATAGGGCTTACTATTATCTGGGGGTATAATATATACAGGTTATATAGGGATTATGGAAAAAGCCAACTGCTATCATCTATACACCTGCCTTTGCTTTCAAGGGCTGCTGCTGCTGCTGCTATGATATCCGATGAGTCCTTATGGCTGTAGGCAACTTCCCTCATGTCCCTCCCCTACCCTTCTTCTAGGAAGTCGTAGTGCTTCGTTCACACACGCAATGTGTCACCAAGCAGTCAAGCAGAACTTACTTTGACTGTGGCAAATGGTGCCCCAATATCTAAGAGTTGCCTGTGTTTGTATTACGGGTGATGACAGGGATAAGTTCCTGACAGTTATTGCGACTAGTGGCACTGTCACGCTGTTGCTTCTTATTCCAGAGAACATTTCTAGAATTCTTGATGAGATGCTTGCCTTCACCTACCAGCACGCGAGCGCTTCACGGGCTTCAGTTGGGGGGGGGCGTCGATAGTTGGACAGTCACCAACTGGGCGCTAAGTTGGCGAACAATTGCCATCTGAGCGCCCACGCCTTTTCACGGCAGCTTTCTTCTTGGCCGCCACCTGGCGGTACCCAAGCTCTGTTCCGTTCTCTTAACTCTTTCAGCTCAATTTCTCGAAACTGCTCTCAACTGATCCTGTTGGTACAAGTGTTTTGAGCTTCCGTTTAGGAAGCGTTGAATTTCAGGACTAGCTTGTTCTAAGAGTTTTCAGCCAAGCGCTATGGAAGGGAATACAGTTTGAAGTTAAAAAAAAAAAAAAGGGTTAGCGCTCAGTGTCAGATGTCAGACAGGCTTAGGAGTTTAGCGTTTAGGCTCTCGGATTGGGAGTCAAGAGCAAGAGTCCAGGAGCTTGTGGCTTGGGATAGCTAAGTAATCACTTCACCTTAGTAGTGAACCCCCCCCACGCCCCGACTCCCTTACTAATCTCAAATATTCAAATTGTGGCATACTGTAGGGCCTTTGTTTTTGCGGAGGTGGGGTGGTTCAATCTTCAGCATAGGGTAGAATTGCACTTTGTTCAACATCGCCCCGAAACGGTGACAAAAAAAATTGATGCGCGCCCACACCCCTGCCCCTGCCAGCTCCATTGTCCCATGCCCAAATTCGGAGCCAGGATACTTGCAACTGGACTTTGAAATATACGTGCTCTCTGGCTATGTAGGTACTATGCACCTCTGAGTTGGTCCTAAACCCTAGTCATGAACAAGATTGCCCGACTTCACCTTTGCACTTGGCCAACCAGCGGAAGGGGCTTCCACAACCTGTCTCATGGAGCTTCGGGTTTTGGGCACAGGGCCTATATAGGGTTTAGGATTCAGGGATGAGGGTTTAGGGTTTAGGGCTTCGGGCTTAGCGCTAATTGTTGAGGGTTTGGGATTGGTATCAGATGTTTGACAAGGAAAGCAGCGTTCGCAACACCGCGGAAAGACTGAATTCAAATCGATGTGAATTATGCAGCAGTGGGCACTAATTACCTCTGCCCCCGAGACACCCTCATACACTCCAAGGTTTGGGTGGCTTCGTGGGAAGGACGGATTCTTCGAATGAGACAGAGGAGTGCTGACACTTTCCTAAGACATTGCCGAAGTTAGTCATCTTTGTCCCGATGCAATGCGTAGGAAGTAGCCCCGAAGTTTGTCCAAGCCCTCCCAAAGCCAAAGCTTCTGGCAGAAGGGTCCATGGGAAGAGGTGATATGAGCAATTTGATTAATGAAACGCTACCAGCCGTACCTCGTAGCCGTGTTTCTGAATCTCGGCCACGATCCCTTCAACGTGGCAGCAGCCCACCTCCAAGGCAGTGCTACCATGCAGCTTTTTTGAGGTTTTAAGAGCCTGGTATATGTAGCTTGGGGACTCATCTTGGCCCATAAGCAAAAAAACAAGTAGTCGTATACCTAGCAGGACCCAGCAGTTTGGGGTTGACGGCCATTCTGATGGGTATTTGGGAGGTCTACGTAGACATTGTCCACGGTGGCCTGGAGTACTGCGCGCGCATCCTCCTTCAGTGACTGCTCCCCCTCCTCGCCGAAGATGCGCTGAGCTCTGCCTTCTAAGGCCTGGACGACGCACAGCTTCTTTAGGATTAGGTAGGGCTATGTAGGGTGTAGGGATATTACCCCCCAAAATGGAAAGTCAAATAGAGAAGAAAACGTAACATAAAACGCAAGCACCTAATATACCATAGTGCTACATTGGGGGGCGTTTATGATTCGGGTTGAGTCTATTGGCTGTCACGGAGGGTCGAGGGCTAAGGGCTCATCACGGATAGCTAGGACTCTGCAGTTTTTAATGAGGTTGGGACTATGTGGCAAGGACCTTTCTGTCTTCTTTCTCAAATACCTTCTCTGCTGCTAGAGTCCGGTGAACATGAAGTTTGCAAACACATGATTTGGAATCCATTCTAAGCGGTTTCCTCATTCATTACAAGCTTACGCTGCTAAGCTAGTTAGGTGGTAGATAAGCGGAGCCTCAACAATAGGCCACTGTTCAGAGCATCGACATGAATGGAAAAGCCTGGCGATTACACACTGCAACGTCTCCCAAAATAAGCGGATCCCAATATAGAAGCCGAATGTCCAGGATACAGCTCAAAGGAACGAAGTTGACATAATAGCTTTTGAATGTCTAATTGCACGTCAGAACTAGGACTCTAGAATGTGACATAAGCTGCATTTTCCACGGTTGTAAAGAAACGAAAGCCAATTCTTGTAGTTGCTCAACAAGACACAGCGAGAGGTAAGGCATAGAGGATGTTGCTTGTTTAAAAACGTTCGGGAATTGAAATGGGAGTCACATGGCTTCGTTTCTTGAACACTGGTAAGCAAACTCTAAACATCATCATGTTTCCAAACAAAATCTAAGCATCTCAGAAGCTTCATGCAACATCAACATATGACGAAGTCTTGCCTGCTCAAGGCCCAAACATCATGGCGGCTTTGAGGAAATGTCTGAACATCTTAACATCTCAAAGGTCTTACTCAATTTGGCTCCAACACAGGTTGACGGTTCATCTCTCGCCAGATACTTTCGTGACGTGGAAAAAGAGGAGAGCCGGGCATCTTAGCCTTCGCTAACATACTTCGTCATGTAGCACCAAAATTGCTCGCGACAATCTCAGCGCCGCCTACCGAAAAGTGCCTGCTTGCGCCAAAAGGATGGACGTCTTCCATCTTGGCAAGTACTGAAATCATCAAGATGTGTCCTCCAAGGCTCAAGGTGTCTGAACCAGCTAACTGAAAAGGTCTTTTTGAACAACCTCCCACAAACAGCAACTTCACCCCTAAACTCTCAGAGGCCATTTCATGTTCCATTTGCTTGTGCATTCGATTCCCCATTACTACCTCAATCCCTGAATACGGTAGTAGTTTCCATGTCATTTCCATTTGCTTGTCCATATGATTCTGAATTCCCTACTAACAACCCCAACCCCTAAACCCGCAACCCAAAGCAATATAGTAGTTTCTGAGTTTCTATGATTTGCTGGTCCATTCCGAAACCCGAAATCATGTACGGCATCCCTACATAATCCCTGTATCCCCTTTAAGCGAGCACCCCTCAACCCTATAACAACCCTATATATCCCTATATCAACCTCACACCCAATATCCTTCACGTGAAAACATTGCATAAACCCCACAAGCCTTACAAGCCCCTTTAAAGGGAGTACATCCCTAGGTGACCCCTGTATCCACAAAATTAAAGGGACCCTAAACCCTAGCCCAAAACTCCTAAACCTTAAACTCCTAAAACCTAAACTCCTACACCCTAAACACGCAACCCTAAACTCTCTAACCTGAAACTCCTAAACCTAAACACGAAACCCTAAACCTTAAACTTAAACCCTAAACCCTAGACCCTAAACCCGAAACCCTAGAGTCTAAATCCTACATCCTAAACTCCTAAACCCTAACCCCAATATACCAGTACTATATACCAGGTTTCCATGATATTTTCCATTATCCCATTATATTTCCACTATAACCCCTAGATAATCCCTATATTATCCCCACTCCCTACCTAAACCCTAACCCTGAACCCTAAACCCTAAACCCTGAACCCTAAACCCTAAACCCTAAATCCTAAACTCCTAAACCCTGAAACCTTAAACCACCCCTGTGCCTCGCAAACGGCTCGAGCCATGGCAGAGTCACGCTCCTCCAGGAAGAGACCTGGGTTACAAAGGGAGGGTTCAGGGTTCAGGGTTCAGGGTTTAGGGTTTAGGGTTCAGGGTTTAGGGTTCAGGGTTTAGGGTTCAGGGTTTAGGGTTCAGGGTTTAGGGTTCAGGGTTTAGGGTTTAGGTAGGGAGTGGGGATAATATAGTGATTATCTAGGGGTTATAGTGGGAATATATTGGGATAATGGCAAAT